TCGCCGCGTGACTGGAATCAACCCTAGACAGCGCTGTCCACCATTACGTACCTCCTCTTTAGAGCCAGCCACATCTCTCAGTTTTGCTGGTATGTGTCATCAGTGGAGATGTTTCATGCAATGATACCTACTATCGAGATTAACACTCGCAAACGAACTCCGCTTGATTACTGGCTCGTCTAACGTGGAAAGCAAAGGGGGTTTGAAGGGTCCACTTCGCTGGTTTGGTGCTATTTCCTCTCGAATTTCCTTGACCAAAGCACTTATACCCACTATATTCAGCGTTAGTTTTGGTGCTTCCAGTACACACTTTATAGCTCCATATTTGGTCCTTAATGAATTTGACTTTACGGTTTCTTTGTATGAAAGGGCAAGGTTATCTAAGTAACGCCAGTTGGGCAGACTAACTCATGGGAAAGAACGCCCTACGGGTGGGAGTCTCCTCATTTTGCCTTTACATTTCTTTGAATACTGTAGTCGATCTTGACCTAGGCGAAGCCGACCGAGCCCCTATATCCGACCGTCAGTGGGCAACGATTCCTGCTGTTTGTCGTACCTCTATGATCATTCACCATGTTTATTGGTAACCTAGGTAGCTTAGTGGTCGAACCAGCTTTGTCGCTATTGATTTAGCTTTGTCAATTCGTATCGCCTACTTTCCGTCATACTCCATGTCACATGTAAACCCTCTGCGGAAGTTAGCAAGCTTTAGTTTATTGAAGGTTCAGAAACGATTTGTTGATGTGGTGTTGATTACAACTATTGATGTCAGATTGGGAATAAAATGTGTTCGACTGTGAAGCCTCACTTCCATTCTAATGCCACTTATCTGCCATCATCAGTTGTTATCACCTTCGATCATACACCATCTGTGTCCCCTCCAAACCCCTAAATGTACATAATAATCAATATAGTACCATTGTTGCAATATGTATGAATTTCCTAACAAATTTTCAGTGATGTCAACAACAACATTTCTTTTTTCTCCACACGTAATCCACCTCACTACTTTCATATTTCAGTGGAATTACCACATCAATTTCATCCTAATTCTTGCCTTCAGTTGATTATGGAAGAGTTATGAGGGCTACCCAAACAGTACTCCCGCTTGAAATTAGAGTCCCTCGCAATTTATTGTTTCTTACTCCATGAACTGAGGAGCGGTGAAAAGAAGCAGCAACTTCTCAAGAAAGCGACAAAGATGGTCCGAAAATTTGATGGCCATTACGGAGACACAATTTCAACCCGTAAAGTTGAACTTAGAGAGAGATTGAACAAAGTTGAGCCTGCGCCACAATCGCACCACATAGCAAGATAATTTCAGTAAGGTTGGTATTTTTCGGCTAAAAACTGTTCTACGACCAGCTTCTGTGATATAAACACTTTTGCCGTGACTTACGAAGGTGGCCAATTCACATCAGCACTGGCAACATTTAGTGACGGACATGTGAAAGGTGTCCTTCACTAAAGTTGCTTTCTGTAACGATTTTGTACATCTGATCCCTTTATTAAGCCGACCACTTAGTGTACCCTACGAATTCTTACACATCAATCGCATACTCATGTAATTCACTCAACCAGAAACGGCAGCACTTCCAAGGCCGAATTCTGAGTTTTCGGTCGCATTCCGATAGAATATTTTAGGGACATCTTCGTCACGAAGTATCATGCGAGTGAACGCCAGTTAGGAACCACAAAAGAGCTGAAACAAGCAAATATTTGAAGCAATAGTCCGAGCAGGGTTTGACCTTCAACACTAATGGTGTGGAACGATGCGCTAGCCCTAGTCAAGAACATAAGTGTGACTGAACAAAAAACTCACCTTGGAAAGCCGCTAGAAAGGGAGCTGAACGGCTTCGAAGTGGGCGTGGTTGGAATCGGCCGAGGGACTGCACAACCACGCCCACTTCGAAGCTGTTCAGCTCCCTTTCTAGCGGCTTTCCAAGGTGAGTTTTTGTTCAGTCACACTTCTTATGTTCTTGACTAGGGCTAGCGCATCGTTCCACACCATTAGTGTCGAAGGTGAAAACCCTGCTGGAACTGTTGCTTTAAGCACGGGAGTGTCAAATCTCAACTGCAGTAGGCCACGGAGACTATTTGATGCTGCACTTAATAAAGCAGAAACCATAGAATATTATATTGTCTTTTATTTTGACTTGTTTTGTTTGTTAACTGCTGTTTTAACGCCGCAGTTCGCGTTGCGAATGTTTCACAAGAATGCTGGGTTGTGAACAAAACTTTCGCCCAACAAACAAAACAAGTCAAAATTCATTGCTAAAGCTTTCAGCCTCGCGGTCATTGCCGATATCGGCTAACCGGCTCAACACGTTATACGTGTGAGTGCTGACAAGCTATGGTACGTATACCATGAAAAGCTGAGTTGGAATGAAATGGTGCCCCGGTAGCGTAACTGGTAGCGCACTTGCCCGGAAAGCGAGAGGTGCGGGTTCTAGTCCCGCCTGGGGCGAAAGTTTTGTTCACAACCCAGCATTCTTGTGAAACATTGTTTTTTATGTCCGTTATTACTCTTAGGTAATATTCTTTTTCTCAATTTGACCCATTGATTATGAAGCGTGTGAAAAGTAGTTAGTTTCATGTTTATCCACATTATTGTGTATTAACAGATCTCTTTGTTTGTGAAGGTTTCCGAGTGAACACTTCATGGGTGGCCATTATAAATGGGACTTAATGCCTCAAAAAAGCAAAAAGTTATAAAAAAAAACTTAGAAAAAATCTCTCTCGCCAAAATTGCTATAGAGGAGTTTTGTGGTGAGGAATCAGTTAATGATACTAAAAAAATCCCTAGTTGGCTGTTTGTTTCGAAATTCAATGCTTTAGAGCGACCTTTAACTATGAAACGCACGGTATCGTTAGCGGGAATGATTGCAGAACAATAGCTGACACAAGGGTATTAATAAAAAAAAGTAGAATTTTTATGTATTAGCCCATTTTCCGACACAAACTCCTTATAATTCAACTGTTCTATGTACTTAACAGATATCAATTCGACAACCCATTTTTCTCTTCAGTCAATGAATGATACAGCCCTCTCAACACAACAAACAGTACCGAGAATTCACACATCGCAAAATACCGGTAAGCTTCGAAAAAATGGTCAACAAAAGAATGAACATGTGATAAGTGTGCAGCCTGACTATGAACAAATGAATGTTTAAGCTGAAAGATTATCGCACAGAAAAGAAAACAAACTAAATAAATACTCGTACGGACATCCGGTGGTAAACAATTACGAGAATGGGTACCTACTTATGAATCTATCTATGGACATTTGACAATATTGCGCTGATATATTACATACTAGAATGCAGCATAACAATAGGGATAGCTGGAAGCACGGCGGAAGAGGACTAGGATTGAAAAGACTGTCTTGGAGAATCCAGACCAAATGATCGCATCACAGAACTGGGAGGCATCACTCGCACTCCCATTGCTGTCAGTGCAGTTCCAGTAGAGGATTCAGGGGACATATCTGCAAAAAATGGATAAGGACAACTGAAATAGTGAACCCATGAGATGCAAATTCGGCGCAGAGGAACATCGCTAAACGGGTATCGCTTACTTGACATATAAATAAGAACGGTCGAGGGATAGT